GATTGGGTTTTCAAGGCTTATTTACATACCAGAAGGTCAAGTTTTCACCTAAAAGAGTTCGTGTTAGCAGTTTAGACAGGACTTAACCTATAAAAGGAACACTGTCTGCTAGGTAAATATTGTAAAAAATCTACATTCCAACTTCTATTCTTTGGTTCACTGCATGATGTAAGAACAAATTTACAGTGGCCTGCAAGCCAAAAATCAGTGAATGACTGCCTATGGGACATTAGCATGAAGAGATTACTTTATTTTGCCTTGAGCCAAAAGTCTAAGGGCGTTATTGAACAGTCAAGATAACCCTCATATTACTAAGGCAACAGTTTGCTTGAAGGGTTGTATATATTGCAGGGTGAGAGTGTAACAGTGCTGAGGGAGATGGGGGAGGGTAAAGATGACCATTTCATTACATTTCAGTTTTTCACATAGCTAGAAAATCTCTTTAGAAATTCAGCCAAAGTGTTTTGTCACCACACAAAATGTTTCCTTGAATACAGTATTGCTTATCAGTCTACATGCTTTTGTATGCAAAAATGATATTCACAAAAGAAAATAATATTATTACATTAATTTCTTTACTTACATTAATACAATTTCTTTGTGAACTCATTGAAACTAAAGAATGTATATTTCTTTTCATTATTGAAGTTAAGCAACATATTGAAGCAATGAATTATATGCAAAACATAACACCATAAAAAGCTAGTATTGCCACACTTCCATATACTTACTGCGTGGTAACTCTCCATAGAAACTGGGGAAAGAAGATATGGCTGCTTCCATATTTTGCCATTTGATGTGTACAGATTTTGGTTGCTGTAGGCTGAAAGAATATGAAACTTGAATAAAATCTGAACATACAAAAACTTTATGTTTGATTAAAGGTAATATTCATAGAATCACAGAATGTCTTGGATTGGAAGGGACCTCAGGAGTATCAAGTTTCAACCCCCTGTCACAGGCAGGTTTGCCAACCACTAGATCATGTACTAGACTGGATTGCCAAGGGCCCCATCCAACCCAGCCTTGAACATCTCAAGGCACAGTCTATCCATAAGCTCTCTGGGCAACATGTTGCATCACTTTACCACCCTCTCAGTGTAAAACTTCCCTTAACATCTAATCTAAATCTTCTTACTAGCTATTTCACTTATGTATGATATAATTTCTCTTCAAGAATAATTTGAATGCTTTCACTCTTGACTTGCTATTGAAACAATGAAATATCCATAAGTCCAAGACCATCATCTAGATGCAGGAACTATACATACAACCCAAAACATTTTGATTATGACTTTAACATAATGTAAAGAATTTCATTAAGATAAAATTTTCATGCAGTATTTGGGTTGTCTTTCTATTACATAGAATAAAAGTCTAACAGCAATAGCTTTATTTTATAGATTTTCAGTTTTTCAGAGTTCTAAATTTTCATTTATAATATGGTTGTAATACTTGGGATTTTGATACAGAGCTAGAACTTAGGAGACTAACATGTATATGAATACCTCTTTAGGAAAACCCTTCAGTACTTGTCTCTGACTAATTCAGGAATGTAACCCCTGAAGAAAAAGAATGAGAAGAGAAGAAAGGAAGGGAAAAGCCTTTCTGAACTCTTACACTATTGTAAACAATGTTCTAAACACTTTTCTATAGTGACTCTGAAGTTATACCATTTAAAAATATTTCATCTTTTAAAACCAACTAGTAAGTTGTACTGTTACAAGAACTTCATGATACTAAACTCTGAAAACTGTCAGCTTGAGCACTAAGTTATAGATACAGATAACAAAATGTACCAGGAAAAAAATGAAGATCTTGTGATAACTTTTGCTTTTAATATCCCACTTTTATAATACGACATTTTTATGCAAGTTCCTCTATTTTCACAACTGTGATCAAATTGCAAAAAATTGCAGATTCAAAAACATCTTCATGAGTAATAGTATATAGATTCATCTCTGAGTTCTTCCAAAATCATGCTTTCCACACTTTTTACTTCTTTGGATTGCGAACTGTTTGTTTTGTAAACTGCTCAAATCCCATTGAAAGATACTCATATTTTCGTTTGTTTTTAAAACAGTTTAGAACTGGCTTGATAGCATGTTCAAAACATGCAATTCACTGTTCATTATTTTCACATCCCAACAATTTTATTCATGCAATCTGGTAGATAATAGTTCAGCTATACTACATCCTGAAACTTACTGATTGAAGCCATTACCTGAAAACTTAAAACAGCTAGTCAAGAGTTCTTCAGCCCATGTTCACTGAGGGGTGCTGAACTGTCAAATTCATGGTTTACGCAGAAACATACAGATACACATGCTGACAAAGACAGAATTTCTGCTCAAAATAAGATTATTTTCATCCAAGAATACCCAATAGTATATGAACTGCATATTTCCAGTTCTGATTCTCCAGATTAAAAGTGTATTTATTTAACAGAAAAGAAAATCCTTTCGCTCTCCCGTAGTAAGAAAATCAGATATGTCAAAGAAATATAAATTTTATTATTGTATTCCCTGGATCTAGACACAGTTGTCTGTCAATAAAATAATTCTCCCTATAGACCAATGAGTATTTCATTGCCATATGCAAAGAGATGCAGCATTAGCAGAAGAAAGTTGGAATCCTAAAATCCTAAACCACAAGACCGTGGTAGTATTGTAGTAGTTATGTACCTAGACATCCTGCTACACTGCAAGAAATAAACGTGCTAGGCCATTAACATGAAATTGGGCAGGAATGTGAATACCAGCTACATACATATTAAGTATTTACTCACTGGCTAATCTGTACAAATGTTTTTATCCTGCTCTGAACTTAAAGGTTATAAAGCTTCAGGTTTCTTGGATTTGTACTCATGTGCCAACAGAAAATAAACTTTCAGAGGATGGAAGGTTATATAGCTCTGAAAATGAAAATAATGAAAAGGTAGAAGAATCCTAACTAAAGAAAATGAAATTGCATTTTATCTTCCATATTAGTAACTGAGCTAGTAAGAGTTGTTTTACTGCAGTAATAATTAGTAGACCAGGACCCTTGCAAGCTGTATAAAACATCTTACTAACTTCTTCAGTAAATGCTGCAGCAAATTAGAATTCAATATTTAGTTTTTCCCTTGAGCATGCAGTAGTTTTAACTAAATCAACTGCTCAAACAAGTGTGGCTACTTACTGTACTTTTAGAAAGCAAACTGTAAAAAGTCACATGTTCTTAGTTTCTTTCAAACTCTTAAACAGGCAAAGGACATTATTGTAACACAACTCAACATAAACAAAGCTCATTTCAATCTTGAATACAAAGTGAAGAATGAAAAGGATAAATCACACAGGAAGATTTCAAGAATAAATTAACATCGACTGTGATAATTCACTCAGACAAATCATAGAGGAAAAAGTTAAATGAATGATGAATCTCAATATCACATTAAATAAATTGTCCTATTTATGCTATGCTTAGAATTAGCGAACAAAAAAAGAGGGAAAGGAACTTACAGACCACATATCAAACATTTTGAAACAGTTTTTGCAATATATAGGAAAAAAATACAGTCTGAAGAGAGAGCCATGATGAGAAAAATACTTTGTCATCAGCAATACAGAGGAAAAGGCCAGGTGACTAGAGCCTTTAAGGTCTGTGTTGATTCAGCTCATGTAGTCTAGTTCTGATCTAGTTCCCTGAAAATGAGTGCTATCCCCATAGGAAAAAAAAAAGAAGCTTCTTCTCAGTTATTTTCCAGATGTGTGAGAGACAAAGAATAAAGAAGGAATAGCCTCAAAACTTAGTATGAGTGTGTTAGTACAGTCAGGACAAAAAGAGGTATGTTATTTCTATCCAGACTTATAGCACATGCTATTTCTGCTAAGGAGAGCAAAAGGAAAATATAAAGCTTAAAAATATGCATACATATTAAATAACAATTAAAAAAAAACAAACATAGGGAGAAACTCAAGAGGCTCTTATTCAGATGAGGTCACTTTTTTCTATACAGCTTTCATAATTTTATGGAAGAGATGTTCCAAATACAGAGTTTATGTCTGGAAAAATGTTCAAATCTAAAATGTTCCTACATTTATACATCTCTGCCAGAGTAGTGTACAACAAATTGCAAACAAATTTTGTTTGTATAAAAAGAAATTAAAGTCCAATCTGGAATCTTGGAAACATCATTTTCTGTAACATCTTGCATTAAGTACGGAGCAGCAGGCAATGTAATAAGCAAGAAAAGCAACTGAGAAATCCATGTTTGTCTTGTAGGATCTTGCATATCTCCTGAGGCATCTTGAACGCCTACAGCTTTGTGGAAGATGCACAGTCCTTTGCAGCACAAGGATCAATATTTTTTGTTCCTCCTCTTTCCTCTAGGCTATAGCATCAACAACACTGAAGTTAATTGTCCCGAAAATACTAAATACAGACCAACATAGGTTTTCTGAATGACAACACTCTGTGGATAGACAATATCCATTGCCTGATTAGTATGCTCTATTTGGCTGTGTCAAATAATGTTGAGCATGCTATTTTTTTTTTTCCCTTAATGCTGAAAGAAGCACTAAGTCAATAAATTTGTTTTGAGTAACAAATGCTATTTGGGATGGTTCTTACAACATGAGGGTGTTACTTCAGATAGGATAACTAGGACAGATTGTTTTTGGCTCACATTTTGTTTATCTGTGAAGACAGGGTAAGTATATTGCTTACAGGAAGTGAAAGTCAACACAGCACAAATGTGTTAATGCGTCCAAATATGTCATAGGACACCTCATTATTCTCTTTAAACTCTGAGAAAAAGCATTCCCTCTGAAAAGACAGGATGTGAAGTTGGATAGCTCTAATTCTTGTTCAGCTGAAACAAGTTTACTCATCAGCTAAATAGAAAAACAGATATTTAATTTTCTTGCAACCTCCTTTCATTTGAAGAGCATTCTACAAAACAAAGCTCTAAAAGAAAAATGCAATTTGCTGTTAAGGAAGAAAAGACAAACAAGATTTTCTTACCTTTCAATTTGACTTGTATCTGCTGAAGGCATGTTAAAAACTCTGTTGATTAAAACTATTCTGCTTAATAAGAAAAAAATTATTTCTGCTCCCTTTGTTCCGTAAACATTATTCACTGTTCCATCTTTCTCACCAGTGTGTCCTTCAGTTGCAGCAAGGTACTTGTTTGATAAATCAAGCACTCTTTTTGAAAATAAGTTGCTTAAGGTGTGTTCTTCTAGCACACCACCATCAGTACATTTCCATCCTGGCAACATCAGTGAGAAGTGGCTTTCATTTGACACGAGTCCAAAAGCAACCGGGCACCGCAGCCTTAAGATATCTAATTGCCCAACACAAAGATTATCTATTTCTTTATCTACACCCCAGGGTAAGAGACATGACAAAAGCAGTTTAGCCGTATCTGTGGTGATGTTCACATCAATGTTTCCTGATGGCTGCGTTTTAGTCTTTCTTGAACTCTTCTTTTTTTTCTGTCTTTTTATGCCACCACTTTCTTCCAAGGGCCTAATTGCGTTAGAATCTATATTGACCTGGTTTGCACAAACAGTATCTACTTGTCCATCCATGGACAAGGTGAACCCAGCAGTTTTATTTCTTTTTAATGTTAGCGCTCTTTTCTCAGTAGTACTTTTGGCTCTTTCTAGAGCGTCGTAGTTGTGGAATGAATTTGATGACTTCAACCCACAGAGTTGAGATGATAGCAGAATATCCACAAGTTTTTCCAGATCAAATAAGAGAACATGAAAGTTTTCATCGTTCCATTTTGTCTTAACCGGTAAAACAGTAAAGGGCTGTAGAATAAGGCTGTTATCTGTTACCTGAAAGAAAAATATTTAGCATTCAAACAAATCCATAGTATTTTGTAGTTTTGTAGATATCAGCAAAGTTGCACAAGGAATAGGCTAAATCCATTAAATCCCCCATTAAGTTCAACTTAATTGCATTTATTCACTTGTTACTTCAGAACAAGATTTTTCTTTTAAATAGTTTAGGCAAAGTGACATGCTTTTAAATATTGTAATCAGAATTCTCTAATGTCTTTGAAATACAGAATAGTCTGATACATTTGCATTGCAGAGATCAAAATACTTTTTTTTTTTTTTTTTTTGAGACACACTCCAGATGCTTTTGTAGAAAAGCAACTACTTTAGTTCACAGAAATCATTGTGAGTCACTTTGCCAAGGGGAGCTTTCTGAATGTACTAAGAGAATCACCAAGTGTTAAAGTCAAATTTTGAGATGGTGACAAAATGGTTATCAGAATCCTGATTTATTTGTTGAAGAAGTACCTTCTATCTTCAAGAAACAGCAGACATGAGTAGAAACTTCATTTTGATTCCTTTACATTTTTCTTTAAGCACTTACAACTCATCTGCTTTTATTGTCCTGCACTAGCCTATGTTCTCAGCAGTGTGTTCATACTAGGGATTTTATCTTTATAAGCAAGCACGTACAAGCAGAAACATAACAGAGAAGCAAATTTTCAGCCCAGTGAAGCTTTTGCAGAGAGGCAATAGCATCAGGTTCCATACCAGAGGAAAACAGGATTTTCTAGATCACTTAATTTCTTTTGTGATAATCAGAAATATTCTACTAGTGCAAATTAAGAGCTGTTTCTGCTACGCGTATGAGCTGAATCTTAAAATAAACCATTAGATATTAGTTAAAAAAAGAAAAATTGACAGCTAAATTTAGTTTGAAAAAGATGTTAATGAACACTGCATTTTAGAGTACTCTTTACATAACTCCTTCTACATTACAAACAAGTTTTGTAGGATTAATTGTTCCTAATCTGTTACAAAAAAAAACAACAGAAAAACGCAAACAAAACTTTTGAGCCTATTTACTCAACAAGTTATTTGACTTTTTAGTTTGGGGTAACAAAATGACCTGATGTTCTGTTAATTAGTGAATGATATTATCAACAGATGAAAACACACTCTAAATACAAAACATTAAGCCTCCCTATGGAGATCCTTAGATAAACAAGGGGTTATAGCAGCATGTTCATGCTTTTTTTCATTTTCCCTGCTACCTCTTCCCTTTAAAAAAATATTGTAGTCAAGCGTTAGGATTATTTTCCATCTTTAATTATGCTGCTTCCTAATACTTAGGTAAAGTACACACTGGAATTCACAATCTAGTTCTGAAATAAATAGAAGTACTTTTTTTTTTGTACTTTTCTGTCTGTTTTATACATTATATTTTGTTGATTCACATTTAGAAGCTTTTAGGAAAAATCACCATTCGAACAAGAAAATATCTTGACAATGTCAATTGGTTGAGGAATCTGGTGATGCTACTGGGCGTGAGGTCACAATAAATGTTTATTGGCAATTCGAAAGCTTATTGACATTGATCCTAAAAGCATCTACCAAGTTATCTTAGCTCTCTGCAACAGGCATTTCATTTCAGTGAAAGCAGGTGGACATCTAAAGCTACAAACATAAAACACTATTTAGGACATATGGACAAGCTATTCTTTCTAACATAAGACGACAGAAAATGGAAGGAAACCCATAAAAATAACTATGAACTAGAGTGCTGGGAATAGCATCTGATGATGGTTATTGAAAAGTAGATTAAGTTATTTACATTCTGAACGGTGTATTTGTTATAGTTCCAGAAGTATTTTACAAAACCAGATTTATTGGCTTATTTTGGTATTGTCATTAATTATTATTATTATTTTTATAATAAACACATGAAGAGTTTAATAACTCGGCATCAGAAAGTAGGTTAATAGCAGCAATAACAAAGAATGGACTGCCTCTGAGCCATGTGGTCTAACTCAGTTCTACCTGTTGTCAGCACATAGGTCTTTTTTTTTTTTTTTTGACAATTTTTGTTCAATGCAATTTCATTTAAAGTTTGAAAGACAATCCTGGGTTAATGTGATCATATTCTACATCCAAATATCAAGCCATTCGAGCCTTATTCCCCAAACGAATTTCTAATTATTACATTAAAAAATTCTCCAATAATACAAAGGCTTCCTTCAACTCTACAAGTTAAGAGACAACTCTATGTTGTACCACTAAGCATAATCCACAGATTTTGATAATCACCATTTTCAAAGGACAGTATAGAGATCTCCTCTTTTTCTAATTCACCTTTGCTAATTAAAAAATTTATTTTTGATACAGCCTACCTTCTGACTCTTCACTGATGAATACACCAACTTTCTTTTACCTACTTCCATTACTAGCAATTAGGAAAATTACTTTTAACAGTCTTCTGACAACTATTGTAGGGAGAAAGCTTTTCATGGTTTTAATAACTTCATCTAGATTTTAAAATCTAGCTATTGTCCTTTTCATCATTGTCGAAGTGTGTGACTCTAAAATAATTATGAACATTCAGACACTCCACTGTACTTCGTTTATAAGAATTAGCTGATTATACTCTCCTTCTGCATCACTAGCAATAAGTTTAAGAAATCTATCTGAAGTATATCTGTATCAGTCAAGAAAGATGAATTTATTTATAAAAAAATAAACATTTTCATGAAGTATAAAAACTGAAACACAAAGCTAAAAGTGTTTTCATTATCATAACATAGCTAACTCATTATTTTAAATCTAAAACTAAGTAGGAAGTACTTCATTTCCATCTGAAAATGGTGTCAGTGTGCATCATTCGAAAAGAACCATCAACCATTTCAGCTAAAATGTTTCCTAGTCCCTAAAAAAATTCACAAATAAAGTATCAAACCAAGCTTTTAAAGACTTATAAAATCTTATTTTAAAAATTCCCAAATCCCAATGTAAAAGACTGTTGCTACCACCACCCAAGCTAACAAAATAACATTAGATGCTAAAGTTTAGTAGTGAGGCCAGATATCCTTCATTCAAAAAAAAAAAAAAAAAAAAGCTTTTCACGTAGATGACATTCATGCTAGCAATTAGAATTCAGAACATTTTGCTTCTAGGAGAAGCTTGCATTCACTGAGAATGTTCCCTTTGAGCCTTCACCTGTGAGCTTTTAAAGAAGCATGGCTACGGACCAAAATGATACCACACTCATGAATCCCTTGAGTGTCATTTCTGAACCACAGCTTTCCATATCCAAGAAAGAACAGGGACTCAGGAGGGCTTTGAAATGGCAAGTTATATTGTGTGCATAGAAACTATAGGATAATAGAGCCCTAATTTGCTGCTAAAGATATTATAGGACACAAGCCATTGCAACAAACTGCAGAATGTCTCATTTCTTCTAACATGGAATCCTTTCCTGCTCTTGGAAGATTATTCTTTTACGCTCCTCCTTCTTCCTTTACAAGTCTTTACCAAATCACCTTAGCACCCACGACAGGATTTTTTTCTCATGTGTGGGATTTGGGGGCTGCCTTCTCCATAGCCATGAAATACATCAGTGTTATCTTAAAAAAGTTAAACACATATACATTACAAAACTTTCATGGGAAGTACAATTCAAATGTTATTTTGTCTAGCTGCCTTTTCTCTAAAGGCACTTTCCCACTGGGATCCTCCTTAATCTAGGAATACTATTCCACTTAAAATACACACGTCCATTAGCTGGCAGTGACTCTGTATTGTTTCATCCTCGTGTATATGTACTTTTTTTGCAGTCCACTTTTCTTCACCAGAAGCACTTTTTTTTTTCTTTTATGAGTTTTGTGCTAAAAATACATTTGACAAAAATGGTCTTGATGTTCATTTTACATAAAAGAAATAAAGTGGCAAGTAGACTTTGGAAGGCTAACCAGGCTCAAAATATACTTAGAGGTCACTTCAATACCACTGAAAGAAATAGTTCTCAAAGTGTGGGTGGTATCAACTTCTACACAAAAGCATGTCTGAAAGTAGTAAATGCAATTCTTACATACTTTTGGTCCTCTTTATCCACTGTACTTATTTTGTACAACTAACAAATTTCCCAGTGCCTGCAATGTGAATCAATAATGTAAATGTGAGCTAGCCTGATGAGAAATATCAGTCCCCTTCTTCCTGTGCTACTTCTTCTCCATCCCCCACTGCACAAAAATAGAATTCAGTTAGATTTTGGGTGCAGGTGGTAGTGATTTTTCAAAGCACTGTCAAAAGAAAGATTCATTAAAATAAGCTGTACTGCTTCTGATTTTGGAAGGTATAATTTCTAAGAATCCTGAGGATTTTCTTGTTTTGTTGGGTTTTTTTTCTTAGCAGATTTAAATTTTGCTATTTTCACATATACACTCTTAATAGACTACTAACACTGACCCAACAAAACAGAGCATTTAAAGTCCACGATAAAATCTGCGTCAGAGGAGCAAGAATTTCACTTTTAAAGAATAAACAATCCCTTATTAAATATAAGTATTGAAAGAAAATTGCTAATTTATCAAATACCGTCATCCTATTTATGTGTATTCAAGTAAGACAATCTGTAAACAAAAGTTCATATATTACACCATTCCACAAATGTTTTTAAGCAAAAAAACAACTTAGTCATTAAAACTGCTCTTTACAGTCAGACTATATTTCTGAAATAGCACCAAAGTGTGAGATGAGACTATCATTATGCTCATTTCAATAAAATGAACACTACAGTAAGGGAAGATGGAGCAACAGAATTTGCCAACCAAAATTTATTGGAGGCTAAGAATTTCCTGTCTCTTGATCATATGATAGTTAACGGGATATCAACAGATGTTCAGAACTAATTTTTCTCAGAATCATGACACAGCACTGGTCTTTATCCAGGCTCATAAGAAAAGCACAGAAGTGTCATACAGCCAATTACAAGAAACCATCTACTACTCCTATCCCCTCTCTTACATTTTTGCTTCATATATCTGGAAGAAATATTTTGACTG